GGCATATACTAATTTTATTTATCCTTTTAACTCAATTGCTAGCCATATTTTAAGAAAATATATGGTATAGGGCTGGCCATCGTGGTTTGGGTTCTAATTAGATTATGTAAGTCGCCTGCTTTCTTTTGCTACAAACTTAACCAAACCATTCGATACCTGAATAAATGCTTTATTAGTGGTACAAGATAAATTTGGATGCATCAGGGAAATAACATCTAGTAACTAGATTGTGAGACAAATTTTTAAAAATTAATCAAAATTTAATTTATTTAATCAGGAATACCGGTAAGAAATAGTCAGGACTACTTATGTTTAATTGATAGTCACATATGCACTTACAAGTATACATTCTTACACAGATTCGCATATGGAGATGGGTTGCTGTGCATAGACTATAAAACAAGAAATATCTGTGACAGATGCAAAGACGGTTGAACATAAATTGGTCAAGGGGATTGCCCTCACTTGTCACTTTTATCATTTGTAATTCTGTGCTCACGATGGCAGCTCTCAATGATGGTGCCGGTGAAACGTTTGGGGATGTATTCAGATAATCGTTCAGTGCCGGAAATCACGCATATTGAGATTTACTGAGCAGTTAATCAAAGTGTCAAGCAAGTACAGACTTCGATAAAAAATTATGCTTTTATTTGATCCTAATTAAGAATAATCTGGCTTATTGGTATTGAGTGTTGTTTCCATCTTTCGTATATATTAATTTAAGAAGATGTGTTTATGCTTAGTACAAGATATTACTTATCGAATTTTTACGTTTCTTTACTAAGTTTAGCGGTCTACAGGCTTAACCAAAAAATTTCGATAACTGAATAAGTTCTTTTCAGTGGTATAAGATAAATTTGGATGCATCGAGGGAAACAACATATAGTAAGTATTTGAGTGGGGTTTCGAGACATTGTGGGACACACATTTTTAAAAATTGAGCAAAATTTAATTTATTTAATCAACATATTAGGGACTACATGGAATGTCAGAAATACAGGTAAGAAATAGTCAGGACTACATATGTTTAATTGATAGTCACATATGCACTTACAAGTATACATTCTCCCACAGATTGGCATACAGACCGAACTAAGCAAATCTTTTCGATATCTTATAGAAATTCTTGTTTGTAGTATATACATAAATATATATATACCAGTGGCGTATTCACCCATGATTCATGTGGTTTGGACAATTGAATAGCCTGAGCAAAGTCCAAAAGTTAATAAAAATTTATAGAAGCTCGGAAAAGTTTAAGTTAATATAAAAATATATTACCGTCTTCTAGTATCCCTCATTTAATCATCACGATGTCGATGCTCCCAGCAATGCCTTTAGTGCTAAAGGATTTATGCATCCGAATCGTCACCAAGACTTATCTTAACATTTTGCGCTCAAGTAGAAGGTATATAGCTAGCAGATAATATGCAAAACAAAGTTCTATGAAATCGTTTAAATGCTTAGACGTAATTTTTACTTTAACTTTAAATAACTGATTTTCTCAACTTGTTAACTTGAACGACAATTCTATTAGAAATAATTACTTTCAGAAGCTTACACTTTACAAACGAGCAAAGAATTTCGAACGAAATTTTTTTATTATGATCTCAGAATTTGAGGGATCTTCATGGAAAGTGATATCAGTTACTGGAAATAAGTAAGGTTTATCTACTCAGATTGCCCATCTACTGTATAAACTATTAATTTACCACAAATATTGCTCCATTTTAAGTATTCGCATACTTGTATACGATCTCTAGATAACTAGCTTTCTTGGGTAGACCTAATTCAATTTATTAAAATCAAGAATTGCTCCTTTTATTTTATTTTGGCCGCTGTTTACGCCTTTTTTTCATTCATCATGTCCAATTTCTGCTTGGCTTAAATTAATTTTAAAATGTAATTGATTCATCCATATCAGGTTCATGTAATAGAACATCTAGTACCTCAAGCACCAGTAGCACCAGCAGCACTAGTGGCAACAGTAGTGATTCTAGCGATAGTGATGGGTCAAGTAGCACTGGTTCATCGAGCAGTGAAGAGGTGGAAGGCGATGATGGTGACAACAGCAGTAGTAGCAGTGAGGCCGGTGGCAGCGATAGCGAAACAAGCACTGAAGAACAGTTCATGGCCCGCACCCATAGCCGCCCAGGGTCTGGAACTTCTCGCCAATCAAATCGTGACAGGCTTGAGGCTGTTTCTGATCTCCCTGTCAATAACTCTGGTGGATCGTTCACCACTCCACATTCTGACCCACCAAGAACTACCAGCGTCGCTGCATTTTCTGGTCGTCACAAACAGGACTCTTCTCCTCACATTCCTGTCCACGATTCTGCTTATACCAGCCTTGTCCCTCAAACTCTTGAAACGACCATTGGAGACTGCAAACTGGATCACGAAGAAAGACAAATCGCTTCTGTCGTTAGCATCCCACGCAGCAACAGAAGCGGTGGTGGGGCTATTGCTGGTTCCAACAGCAGTAGTAGTGAAAGCAGCGGCAGCAGCAGTAGTACTGGCAACAGTAGTAGCAGTAGCGATGATACTTCAACCGATAGTGCTTCTAGCAGTGAGGAATATGAGAGTCACAATGAACAAGACATTCTCAAAGGGAAGGATTCTTCTCGTAATTTTTCGCATCATGCTTTTCGAACGACA